CTGACTGAGAACATGCAAAATCCTCACCAGCTGCTGAGTCTCATCAGCACAGCTGGAAAAGGGACCATGACATCTTGTAAACCAATATTTAAGAGCTCATTTCTAAATGGTATTTGCCTATGATGATATACCAGAATGTAAGTGTTGAGATATGGTACTTTGGAAGAAGACCTCTTTGTCTTAACAGAAAAAAAAAAAAGTAGTGAAATCATTCAACTAAGATCTCATGCAAGGGAATGTTGCATAAAATTAATGTTCTTTCCAGTTAGGAAAGACAGGACAAATTTGCTCCTTTTGCCAGGCAGGCCTCAGTTCCAGGTCTGAATGTGGCACTGTGTCTTTGAAAAGAGTTGCCAATATGGGAAATAAAAGAAAAAAGGGGAGCAAATCTCCACTTTGAAAAGGAGGTAGTGTAATGCAAGAGTTCAAATCCTATTGCATAGACAAATGAGGCTCTGGGAAATGAACAGGGAGCCTAAGATTTGTACAGAGAGCAAATGGGCCCTGGCTTCCTCGCGCCCACAGCAGCATCCTGGAGATGTGCGGCTGCGGAGTCAAAGTCCAACGCCTCCAGGGGAGGATCCTCACAGAGATTTCTTCACAGCTGGTTCACTGGCATGGATCCACCAGAGGAAACAGGAGGCTGCTCCTCTGTGCTTGTTCATCATCCGCTTTGAGATGGAGTTACACATTATCGTAGAGCACTTCTTTGCAATCATTTCTCTGTGTTCAGCATTATCGTTCCTGTCTTTCCCAGATATTTCTATCCCTTAACAGCTAACCCAGAAGAAAAGTCACTACACTTTATCGTTAGAGGACTGAAAAGTAAAATGGAGATTCTGGAACTCCAAAGAAAACAATACATTTTCAGTGCTAACTGACAGTGAAACCTGATACTTTCATGTTTCTGCCTTTATGTTACCTGCACCTTAATGCATTATGATTAACTGCTTATTACCAGAAGTAGAAAAATATCTTAAGATATTATATTTTTACTTCTCATTTGTAATTTCTTATATCTATAAAACAGAAATAAATGAATCTGTATCTTATGTAACCTTTAATAAAGGCATAAAATGTAACTTTGAAAAAGGCTTTCATTTTGACTGTTATATCCAGTGAACTTTGATTTGTCATTGTCTCTTATTTCCACAAAGAGAAATCTAAATGAGAGAATTCATTCACCCAAATTACGAAAGGAGGAACTCCCATTCCTTTATTTGACTTTCCTTGCCAACATGATAGAGCAAGAACACCTATGTCATACATGGTTCAGAGGCCTAGTGAATCACTGTGCAAGTCTGCTGAGAATAAGCGAAATGGAGGATGGCAGGAAGGATGTGGATCCCAGAACATAGAGCTATAATCCAGTCTAGAAATGAGGCGTTGCTCCAAACCGCTCCGGCATGCACACTCATAACGTGGACTATCTTCTCTGTAAGAGCCTTCAGCAAGACTGAACCTCAGCCTTCTGCAAGCTCAGATGCTGCCTCACCACTGAGCAGCAAGGTTTGACAGGAACAAAGGCAGAAGGGGGCAGAAAAAAAGGGAACTAGTTTTCCTTCAAGTTTTGCATCAAGGGCTCACATCAACATTGGCCAGGCGTCTTCAGCACCTCAGTGACCCAGAAAGAGCCTCCTCAAAGAGAGGACAAGTCCTTGCACTGCAGTGAAGAAACAAGATGGTGCCTCGAGGGCAAACCCCTCAACACACCCTCTAGAAAATAATAACATTATTTCAAATGATAGCACTTTATCTTTCAGTAAGAAAAGACTGTTTTTAGATAAATGACTGTCTGAAGTGTGTCAGGAACACTGCTTGTTTCTCTGCACTGCATCAGGAGTCAAACTATAAGAAATCTGGCCATTATGTTAGTTTTCAGCAGCTCTCAAAGACCTGCTGGGGTGAACAGATTATGCTTGTGCGGAGAAGAGTTAAAACACAGGAAACCCCAATGCTGGTGCTGCAGGCAACTAGGAGTCTCCAGAAGGAACAGAGGAGGGAAGGCAGAGAGCTGTGATTTGACCAGTGCTTGGGTGAGCTGGCTGCTCACACAGAACAGCTACCCACCATAATAACTGGAGCCTTCAGGATGCCGAGTCTTAACGTTCCTCCTCTGTCCCATGGCCTAAGACTTCCAGTGCTTCTCCGCTCCAGTTCTTCTCCCCTTCCCTTCCCCTTCTCCTTTTGCAAACACCATTGCAGTTTGTGAGGCACGAGCCTGCCTGCCAGCATCTCACCTCAAAGCTCACGGAGGAGAGCCGCTAACTTGGTGATAGCTCCCCGCTTGGTCACATCCAGGTCCCTGCTGTCACTCAGTCTCCTCCATAATTTTAATCAAGCAGCAAGGATGACGCCCTCTCTACCCCAAGGCTTGTTAGCAGTTTCGCCACAGCAGCTTTTTCATTCTGGACATGGGACACGGCAATTATTTGCAGAGCAGTGTGAGTTCATCTGAGCAATGATAACCAGCAGAAAAGGAGTCACATGGAACTGAGACTGCAAAGAAGAAAACAAAACCTAGAGCCTTCCCATCTAAAAAATATCCTCCCAGGAAAAGGCATGCTCTGGCTTTCTGTATACAAGATACACTTAGGGCCTTTTACATACATCCCAGAAGTAAGTGTTACTCAACTTCCTCCTATATTCAAGGACTGAAGCGGGAATTCAGGAAGGCTGCATTTGGCAGAGGAAGAAAACAGACTGGAAAAAAAACAACCAAGTATCAACATGCTTTTTGTAGAGATGATAATGCCACAGTGTAAACTGCAATTGCTGCGAATAGACATGGCTGAAGTTTTGCAATGTTCTCCTAAATTAGCTTGCTCTTTCCTTAGTCCATATGTGAAATGTAACCTTTTTTGAGTCATGATTTATTCTTTCTTCATGTGTGAAAAGCTTGCCTTTTTGTGGCCATAGTCTGCTTGATTTAAGCTGCCATTCCAGGCACGAACAGAAGGGAGACAGACATATGGGCTCGCAGATTAGCTTAAAAACTGTTTGGAAGGTTTATTCTAGCAGGTGAGTTCGAGATGCTACCCTAGGACAGGATTCTGCTCACAGATCACAGATGAACCATGGAGCCTGCTTTATTCACAGTATGTTTAGCACCACTTTCACAGTCTGGCCTCCACAAAACAGAGCAAAAACAAACTCTGCCTGTGGTAAAAGTGGATTTGCTCAGTTGATTTCCCCACTGGTTTCACCCTCACAAATCCAGGACAGTTCAAGTGCAGAAGCACAGAGCGTTTTCGGGGCTGACTGCCAAGAACAGGGTTGCACACTGCGATGGAAATTGTCGGACTAACGTTGGTCACAGGTTGTTGGGCTGGATTTGGAGACGTTTAGCCTCAGGCGGTGAAACACTAAACATGGAAACACCAAGCAGTGTGGGTGACACCTGCCCACATAAAACAGCTTAAAAACAGATTCTCACTTCCAGTATCCTAACCAGGTGATAGACACTTACCAGCTCGTGAGTGCAATAAGGCAATCCATTGAAATAAAGGTTTGACTGTTTAGCCATACAAGCACAATAAAGCAAGGTGGATCTAACTGTAAAAATGCTCCACTAAGCCAGCGAACACATTGGGTACACATTCATTCTCCTATGGAAAAAGTACTCACTTAAATTGATTCAAAACCACTGGAAGCCATAGAGAACTTTTCTTGGGTGGTGATGGCTAGCACAGGGATAGCCAGGAAAGCCCCTTCACGTGCAAATCCTCCTCTCGCACATTTAAAGCTAACCCAGATGTCTACCTCCACCAGGAGGCCCCTACTGCCTTTTGCTCCAGCCACAGTTTGGTTCAGGAGAAAAAGGAGAAAGATGACAACAGAACTGTGAAATCTATATTCTTGCTTCAGTATAAGCAAACCAAAGGGAAAAGGACACAGAATTCAGGAGCTTGGGGGTGGCATGGAAGGAAGAAAAGAACTGCACAGGATATAACTTGTTCAGAAAAATCCTACCAGAAAAATAGCAGAAACAGACAGATATTTTCCCAAGGGAGACTGAGCAGAGTATTAGGGAGATCTAAAGAATGTAGGAAGTTTGTATTGCTACCTCAGAGCCTCATTGACCCTGCAGTAAAACCCTCCCAGTTGTTTTCTTGACTGGGAAGTCAAGAAACATGCCATCCATCTCTGCTATCTTCCAAGGACTTGCAACAACGACATGCTCTTCTGCGGGGAAAAAGCCTTGAGACCGTGCTCCAAGGCAGCTCTTGACGGACGACTACAGAAACTGGGTCACCTTTCACTTCAAGGCAGCATCAGAAAGCTGGAATCCACACCCCATCCCCCGCTTTCCTTCCACTAAGCTTCATTTGTGCGTCCATCCCTATTTCCATGTCATTGTAAATTAGTGGGAGCGGAAACCTGACCCTTAAAAACGTGATTCTGCCAGAAATAAGAATTGCCGTGAACTGGAATCAGAAGGCTGGATAACAGTTGAGTTACTTTAAATAACAGTAAGAATAGTTGCTGCTGCTACCATCATCCTCACTGATCGCCTCTTTCCCAGCTAAGACTTCATAGTCACACGTGGTCATTAGAAAGACTTCCCCACCACACAGCGCCCAGGAATGGCAAGAGCCAGGGATAACGCACCCATCTTTGGATCAAATTCTCGTCTCATCTTTATTTCTGTCATTCACGCCATGCAGAGCTCACGACACAAACAGAGCAGCACTTGGATCATTATTACCTTTTGCTGATTAACCTCTGGAGGCCGTGCTAGAAGAACATAGTTACAAACTGCAAGAATCCCATTTTCAGAAGGCGTGCAAAAAAAAAAACCCGAAACCACGGTGGTGATGTACACATCCTACCAAATATACAAGAAGTGCTGTGTAAAAGTATCAATGGACAAGCAATGGTCTTTTAGTCAATTTACAAAAGGACAAAAAAAATCCTTAATTTTCAGGTAAGTGAACTAGCGGGCCCCAGAATCTTCCACTAGTTTAGATATATAACCTAAACCAGATGTATTTATATAGTTCTGGCATGGACATTTATAGGAAACTTGTATATTTACATTTTTTTGATGATTTAAAACCAGCCATATTAACTTTTATTTAATAAAAGGTATGTAAAAACAAGTACAAAAATGTGATCCATTTCTTTAAAATATAGGCTCAAAAGATTGAACAATGTTGTTCAGGCTATAAAGTGCAAAGGGAGCAGTTATCCCAGTCATGCTTAATCCAAAAATAACCCTTACACAGCAAGAAGGAATAGAAAAAGTAAACGGAGAGCAGACACAGCCATGCTGTGGCTTAGTTATTCACGCAGGTTCACAAGGAAGGGACTTGAATGTCCCAGATGCAGATGATAAGAGGCAACACGTGCCCCACATGCCTCACAAACAGGCTGTAAGGAATCACAGGCCTGATAAACCTAACACCAGGGAGTCAGCTTTCGGTATCATGACACACATAGGCTATACACATTTCTATGAAACTCTGTGTTCTGCATCATTTCCTCCTCGTGATGCAACCAACTAACACAACTGATTCAATTATAACAGGAGCTGGCAAACAATTTTGCTCAGACAAATGTAAGAATTGTTAGGGGGAGGTCTAAAAGGCTTTGAGACTCAAACAGGATGTTCTGATTAAAATTTGCCTTCCTCCTCCCCACCAGTTATAATGAAGCCAAAACGGTACCTGGAAAGCAACCTTCTTGCTCTAGGGAACTTCTGAGCAAAAAGCAGGACTTGTCTCTCTGCCACGCGAATTTGGGAGGCTGAACACTGACACACGACCACACACTCAGGGCACTCACTTTACCAGGAGGAGTTTCAGCAAGCCCTTCACGGAGCACAAAGCAGGGCTTGCACGTGCACACACACTCACAACACAGTCTACGAATGATCATGTGTGTCAGGTGAACAACACCTGGACATTTTAAAGGTCAGGCACAAGGTTTAACAGCAGGGAGAGTCCAGAAGGAATAAACTATACTGAAGTATTTAATTAAGCTGGTGAGCTCTTAAGTGTGGGCTGAGGAAACCATGGTGCTGTCTCACAGCAGAGTAACAGGAACTGTTGAACACCTGGTAGCTGACAGCACTACAGCTCTACTGCCAGCTTGCTATAGATTCCACGTTGCAGATATAGATACATGTGTGTAACTGAGCAGTCCGAGTGTGCAGGGGTATTTTATGTTATTACTCGTTCCATGCCATTACAACACAGCACTCCTGCAGCCAGTGATGTTGCTTTTTAGGCATATTTATACTTGATGTAAAAGAAAATCCATTCAATGGGGAGAATATCTCATTTAATAGAAAAGGGTGATTTTTTATACAAAGTACTGTGGAGAAGGCCACATGAAGAGCATCATCAAGTTGACATTGTGGCTATTAAATTAAGACAGAATACTACTACTTCTGATGCTTTTGATACAGGTAAATGGAAGCTTTGAACAATTTCCTATAAGGTGCATAAGCATCAATACAAAAAAATCTATTTCTCCTGTACTCAAAATAATATCAACAAAGAAACAAAGACCCAGCTAACTATTCATTCCTTGCCTTTTTTTTTTTCCTTTTTTTTTTAAATTCAGTAGACTTGGATATGCTGGTTTAGTAGGACTGAAAGGAAAGCATAATTTTTAGTGTCAAGACTTCCACGGTGTCTCTGTGCTTCCACATCCATTGGAGCAGTCTGGCTCCTTCAAACTCTGCTCAGGAACACCCAATAGGCCAAACTTCTACCAAAAGTCACAACAGCTCCCACTTGCAAACTGTTGACAATTTCAACATTTCCTTCCCCTCAAAATAAAAGTCATTCTGAAGGTGACACACTTTTAGACCTAAATGATTCTACACCTTTTGCACAAGGAGGGTCTAACAGCACCAGCCAACTGTAGGATCAGGGCAAAAAAGTGTGAAAACCTCCCAAACCAGAGGTATCAAATATTATATGCTTATAAAATGCCCTGAATTTGATTCTTCAAGCTTACTGAAAAGCAGTTTCCAAAACCCCGGGTCTCATCCTGCACACCTTTATTAATGCAGGCCAATAATTTGCCTGCATATCAAGACCAAAAGGAATAAATACAAAATATATTTGGTATAGAAAATACTAGTACAAAAATTAAAAATCACCCTGTTTTACTGTCCATCAAAATATTAACAGCAAGCATTACAAGTGATTTTTTTAACCTACCGCCAAAATAATTTCTAAAGAGTTCTGCTTTCCTGAAGTGCTGGTGATTGCATTTGCCCAAATCGTGAAAAAAAGAGACAGGGAAGGGACTGAGGAAAGGTAAGAGAGATTTCCCACACGGTATTACAAATCGAAGAAAACTGAAGTATGCACAAACGTGGATTAAACCCCCCTGGCCGCCGCGTTGGCACCACGAGGCAGTCTGTGGGCAGGGCCCCTCTCGGCGCTAGCCCTGGCCGCCGCGGCCCAGCTTGCCGAGCTCGGCCTGCCAGCCGGGCACCCTCCTGGCGGCCGCGTGGCGCCGCGCGTGCTTCGTCAGGTGGTCGCTCCGCATGAAGCGGCGCTCGCACACGGGGCACGCAAACTTCTTCTCGCCCGTGTGCGTGCGGCGGTGGCGCGACAGCTCGTCGGAGCGGGCGAACTTCTTGTCGCAGCCCTCCCAGTTGCAGCTGAAGGGTTTTTCTCCTGTAGGACATTAAAAAAAAAAATTATTTGCTGTGTTACAGTTCTATCAAAGAACTTTTATCAAAGAATTTATTTATACCCCACCTTACAACAACCAAAGAATTTCACAGAAGAATTCATGTGTGCAGTCAACGTGAACTTAAGCACAACCTGTATTCCAGTTTTAGAGAAAAATCACAGATTGTTTTACTTAATCTCTCATCTCTTTAAGCCTTCTTTAATCCAACCCTTTTTTTCCAAAGACCCAAAAGACAGCTTAGTGGAAAAGATCACCAAACTAGAAGCAATCCCTTGTCTCCATCCCTCCTACGGGACTGCAGCTCCAAGACTGTCAGGAGACAACACTGCAGGCAAAGGAAGCCTGGAGCAGCCTCAGAGTCCCGCTGAAGTCGCCCATTTCTGGCGACCGCTGAGGAAGGGCCTGTCCTGTCACCCTCACGCACCCAGCAGCCTGACAGGCACTCGGGGCACTTCTGGCTGCCCAGGAATAAAAAACAACTACAGGGGCTTTCAACATTAACTTTTGAGCATCCCGGGTGAATGCTTAACATTAGACCTCTTCTAAACAAACTCCTATATAAACAAACGTCAAGTTCTCAACAAACTTCTACATAAATACTCATCACATGGTCCAAGTTCATCAGAAACACTTTGGAGCAGAACGTGAGTTTCCACCAGGAGGGAAGCACCACAGGGAACTTTTAACCCTCAGCATATGAAATAAATTTGACCCTCAAATACTAATATATAATGTAATGCTAATCAATAAGCAAAGGAGGACAAAAGAGAAAACTGCTCCGTCCACTGATCTTGCGAGGGTGCTTCATCTCCCATGTATGTGGCTACAGTTGGAATAATGTTACAGGGGGACACAAAGCCTCTTTATGATGAGCAGCAGACATGCTCCAAATGAGACACCTTGTTCTGCTCTGTCCTCATCCTGTAGTGCTGGTAAATGGAGGAGTCTGCAGCACTTGCACTCTCTAACCAGAAGCAAGGACCAGAAGCACATTTCTACCTCTGAGCTCTGATTTACAAAAAAGAACTGTTTCATTCAGGGATTAAGCAATTTGCTCAAAAAAATTTAAAGATAAGACAGCAAATTAATGCCAATTCTGACACAGACACCGATATCTGGTAAATCACACCGCTCTGCAGTAGGGAAGTGAGATGAGGGAAGGAAGCCAAGGAAAAAGCAAAGTTTAGCCAAACATTTGAATGAGCTACTCTGCACTGGGCTTCTACAATGCCTGCCCCTCGATATTAAGAGCAATTCCCTCCAAGGGATCAAAACTGAGTTTTAACACGACAGGATCTCTAACTCAGGAACAGTGCAAGTCAAACACATTTATATCACATTTTATACAGCAAATCAGCTCCTATTATTTACCATTAGAACGTTCTTTCTGTAAGAACTGAATAAATCCACCACGTTCCTGCAGCAGCTCTACCTTCTAACACAGTAGCCCAAAGTCTTCATCATACACATTTAGCCCAGACAAAATTCTAGAAAGCAACATGCAGTAAAACAACTATTTCCATCACATAAGAACAGTTTTTCATCACAGAACAACAGTTTTAAGCAGATTCAGCTTTACGAAGCTCATTGTCCCCCAGAATTAGGGCCAGCTACCCACCAAGGCTAACTTGCACACCAAACTCCTCCCATACTCCAAACAAAACAAACAAACAAAACCCTGCACGATTCTCTCTGATCCAGTTCCAAAGGTCAGAATGCCACTCGTACCACACATGACACACACACGGGGCTAAGCCTGTGAAATTCTGCTAGCACTACGGGGTTGTCTGAGGTCTCAGAACAAAGTCTGCCCTGTTTTGGGTGCCCAGGGGGAATGAACCTCCTTTCTTCTCCAAGACGAGCAGATGTTTCCCCATCACCTCCCGCCCCTTGGAGCACCCTGACAGAAGCAAAAGCAATAGCAACAAGAGACTTTTGTGTCCTACGCACCAGTGTGAGTGCGCAGGTGGGCTTTGAGGTGGGAACTCTTGAAGTAGGTTTTCTTGCACCCTGGGAAGCTGCAAACGTAATTCCTCCGTCTAGAGAAGTCCATCTGGGGGGCACAGCTCTGACCAGAAGCTATGAACATGGGGGCAGGAGCAAGGGGCAGTAACTTGGTGCTCCCGACAGTCATTACTGTTTGTGGGCACTGTGGTGGCTGCGTGACAGCAGTCTGTGGGAGAACCAACATAACAGTCCCCTGAGGCACAGAAGGTCCCATGAGCACAGGTTGAGACAGAGGAGTTGTCTGTGGCAAGATGGGCTTGACTGGAGTTGGAGCTGTTGGAGCTGTTGATTTGACATAGGCATTAATCATACTGCTCTGTCCATTCAGAGGGATCATCTGACAGAGAACGTGGGGGCTTGAAACAGAGACAGGTGTCCCCGAGGTAGCTCCTTTCTGCACGTCGTTCTCACAGTTCTTTGGTAAGTGGGCCCGTGGCGAAGCGGGCTGGACTGGGAGCTGTCCTTGGTTGGTCACAATATCATTGGAGTCGTGCACGTAAGGCTGAGGTCCTGGAGAGCTTTTGATGATTAAACCATCAGCAGCGCATGTGTCCTGGGGCAGCCTGGAGTGTCTGGGGTCACCTGCTGCACACCAGTCCTGGGAAGTGCTGCAGCCTGCGGCTGCCTTCGCCCGCTCGTGCGCAGCAGGAACGTGGGGGCGGGCAGCAGCGTCACCCGTGTGACGTATCACGCTGGTTGCCATGGCCCGGCGAGGCTGGGGGGCAACGGGCTCGGGCATCGCGGGCGCCCGAGCGCGCGGCCTCTCCGCGCTTACAACCGAGGGCTTCGTGGCGGGAGACGAACCGGCGGCAGGCGTGACGGAACAGGCAGCCGTGTTTGCCATGACAGTCCTGGGTTTGGAGTAAGTGACTTGTGAGGGCAGCAGCACGGCAGCTGACATCTCCACAAAGTCAGGGCTGTGCGGAGGGGTCATGCACTGCAGAAAACAAAACACCGTTTCACAACCGTGCAGTGTTATAGGACATTCTCCCACAACTTTACTATGAAAACAAAACGATCCCTCTCAAGGTTCTGAAAGCCAGCACAGCGCAGAAACTACGATAAAAGCACATACTTCTCATCTGATGGCCATTTTGAACAAGTCCAAAACTCCACCAGTAAAAGGAAGACAGCAATGCAGGTGTAAACCTGCATAAAACATTGTGTGTCTCATTGTACAACAAAAAAAACCCTCCAATTTCTTCTCCCTACTAATGAGCGCAGCCTATTAAGATGCTATGAGCTCTTTGCTGTTCACAGAGAATAGATTAGCAATACATAGCAACTTAGATTTCAAACTTCTATTGAAATCTGCATCTTTTAATGATTGCCCAGCCAGCTCATGGCTACTACTGAGTGAAACATGACTGGAAATGCCCTCTCTTATTTATCCATTTCTTTGTGTGCTCTCTTGCAGCTACCCCATCTCCTTCCTTCTTGGACACTGAAAATTCAAGCCTATTTCCTATGCTGTTTGGGAGACAATTCCAATACTAAGAGGCAGGAGTATGACAAAAGCCACCCACTAACCAGCTGTCGTCCCACCCCAATTATTTCCTCTACTCTCCTTTTGCCTGATATACCTGTATACTAAAATCCTACCAGTTGAAATATGGATCTTAAGCGTCTAAACCTCAACAGCATAAAGCTCTTTCCTAGCATCGTCCTTCATTGCAACATAAATTGCAACAAAAAATGTGATTCAACTGACATTAGTCAGTAACCATAGACTTTGAAGAAACAACAGACTGCATGTAGAAACACACAGCACAAGTTACCGTTATGAAATAATAAAATTAATTAGTCTTTATGATTTCTCTTACAATGTTAAAATGAAACCAAACATCAGAGTCTTTTTCTTACAGTTCTTGCAGGTAAATCAATGCCAAGCCACTGAGTTTCAATCTGCCGCCCTCTTCTTACTTGAAGGACTCCAAGAAAATTATAATAACTATCCAAATAAGCTTTCTTCGCATGACTGTCCAAGTGAATATCCTAGCAGTTTTCCCACTTAACAAGGGATCAAAGCACTACATTTACTATTCAGGAGAGAGCAGAAAAAAAACAAACGCAACAACGGGCACCTTAATATTCTATGTATTAATCTACATACACACTGTTGGCTATAGGACATCTATACTGCACAAATATCTTTTCCAGCTAGACCAAAACATGGCAGGGATGCAACGTCATAAATATATATTTATTTGCATTCACGTCTTCCTTACCAGTGTAGATAAATAATCCTTTGGCAATTCAGACGTAGCTTCAGTGTGCATTGTGAAATCACCCGAGTCCGAGAAGGGTGTCAGTGGCCTTATCTTTAATATGTCACCCTTCTGTGCTCTTTGACCCCAGGAGCTCATACAAACAAGCGCTTCCACAGCTTCAATGTCATTCCTCTCCAAGGCACTGCAGGTCGACCTCTCGCTGTCGTGACGCTGTCTTTCCCGGAGCGACTCGCAGATGTCAGCGATGTCAACCTGAAGGTAATCGGATCACGGCTGTTAGGGCAAGTCAGAAACAAGGCTGACACCACCCACACACTGTCTGCTCGTGAGGAAGGTCATCGGAAAGGGATGCCAAGACCGAGCAAGGCTTTTATCAATCTGCTCTGCTCTCACCCTCCTCCTTGAGCAGCACGCAGCTCGTCTCCCCATCCCAGGGGTGGTTTTGTTGTTTTCTCTTTTCTTCTAAACAAGTGATTTTCAGGAAAGAAATTGATACACATAGCATGAAGTTCAGATTTCCAGAGTTACTTTCCTGGATTACATTGCTGTGTGCAAACACATCCCACATTCGTACACAAGAGGAAAGAACAGAATCTCAACTTCCAAAATGAAAAAGCGAACTTTAGAGAGGTGAAACTATTTCCTGGACCAAAAAGATGACTGTTACTTAGCAGTAATTTGTAATAACTTAGAAAAATAAGTCTCGGCTGATACTATGGTGCTATGAAGTCTGATCCCTGTTCTGCCATTGATTCAGGGCACCACACTACAAAGCATTTCAATCTTATTTAACCAATAGAGAAACTACAGGGAGAGGAAAGGAAAGGAAGTCCCACCGTATTTTGAAAAATACATATTTGTACCGTATCTTAAAACACACAAAATACCACACAGGTGCTAAATATCCCTAAATGCACCATCAGCAACACGAAACAAAATTAAATGGTTCCTGAACAAAGTCCTCACAGCGTGTATGGCTGTGACTGAAAACCATGGCGTGTTGTTCATTTATCCCTCACGTGCGGTTTCGATTTGCTCTCACCCCTCTTCAGCCACAACCAAGCGTCCCAACTTCCTCAGTCTTCACACACACAAAACTAGGTGTAAAAGTTGGGATTCAAAAGCACGGGCAAAGATTCTTGAACCCCAAGCTGTTACACGGAAAACTTGCATATTGTCCCGGAGACTTATCGCTAGGAGATCCTGTCCTCATGACAGGGATGGGCACATATTTTAAACACACTGAATAAAGAAATCCCTTGTTTATTACTATTAGGTATTGCAGCCACAGAGGATTTTCCATAAAACAAAGAAGTACCAGACGTGGAAACATCAAAATTAGGGGCAGCAAGTAATTAAAGCATTAAAAAAAATCTAAAAAAATTAACTGGTATAAGAAGGATATTTAAGCATTTCCATTGAAAAATAATGAAAATGGGAATGAGAGCAAGAAAACTGCCGCCTGTAATAGGCTGCCTATCAGATGGATGAAGCGAGCGAGGCTCCGCACGGACTCTGGGAGTCCCTTCGCCACACCCAGCTAGAGATATATATACAAATATGCATATATATATACACATATATATGTATGCACATACATACACAGGCACATACCGCGTATGTACGCAAGTTTTCCCTTCAGACGGGAGCTTTCCCAGAGGACACCGGCAGGAAGGCGCCGCGGGCGGGAGGGCGGCTCGGAGCCGCGTCCTCAGCTCACCCCGCGCCCGGGCTCGGGCTCGGGCTCGGCG